AGAGAAAGAGAAAGAGAAAAGAAAAGAGAAAAGAAAGAGAAAGAGAAAGAGAAAGAGAGAGAAAGAGAAAAGAGAAAGAGAAAGAGAGAGAGAAGAAAGAGAAAAGAGAAAGAGAAAGAAAAGAGAGAGAAGAAAGAGAAAGAGAAAAGAGAGAGAGGAGAAAGAGAGAGAGAGAAAGAGAGAGAGAGAAAGAGGACGAGAGAGAGAGACAGAGAGAGAGAGGAGAGAGAGAGAGAGAGAGAGACGAGAGAAGCGAGAGAGAGAGAGAGAGAGAGAGAGAGAGAGAGAGAGAGAGAACAGAACAGACAGACAGACAGCAGACGACACACACACACAGACACACACACACACACACACACACACACACACACACACACACACACACACAACACACACACCACACATATATATAACAAAAATATATATATTCTCCAAGCAAGTCATCATCACTACCTCAAATTTTTGTAAGAGTCAGTCTAATTTCAAACAAAATTTTTGACTCGGGTCAAATTTCTTCTTGTGGAAATATATACTACATCTTGCACTCCAAGCTACCTATCTATAATTGCCCTTGTCATAAAAAATTGTAGCTCCATTATCCCCTTGTCTCTTTGTAAGTTGTGGTGGGAGTCCTACTCATTCTAGGGGGTAAATGCCTTTTGATTCATTAGACAGTAAATGCATGACAGAGGCAATATTCTCTGACATGTCCGTGTGTTTATACATTCCTGGAAAAAAGGGTAGCTAAAAGACTGAAACTGAAATATAATCATTTTCTACGTGGAGATGAGCTGAGTAAATCCATAACGTGAAAATAATAAGTTAAGCAAGAACTGTTGAGAAGAATATAAACGAGAATGATAAATTTCAGCAAAGTCAACCATGCAGAATGGGTAAGAAAAGGATCTTTATAACCATAGGAAATCTGGCAATTCTGCAGTTAATTAATAATGGTTGTACTCTCGGTTTTCAAAGGAGCAGATTTTACCACCTGAGGCTACTGCATAGTTTGCAAAGTGCGAGCCTGAAAGCAAGGGGATGAGGATACTAATGAACATCATTATCCTTACAACTCATAAATAACTACCAGAACTTAGGTGAACTTGTAAGCAAACACAGATTTTCTAAACTGAAAAGATAGCATTGCTGGGACAAAGCTTTTCAATTCTATTAGCTAATTTTTCATCCATGTCACTGCTTAAGATGTGCTGAAGCAGCTTAAAAATGTAACTCCGGTTTAAATCAGAGCAAACTCCCTTACTCATCTAATAAAATAAAAAAGAGAAAAACGGCAAAAGTGTGTGAGTAAGAATCACATTTAATTTTCCAACTAAATAATGCTTAAAAAGAGCTGGAGATGCATTAGGGAAGGGAACGATAAAAACACTAATAACAAAAGCAAATTACACAAAATAATTTTCCTTTTCAACATCAAAATTTTGTCTCAAAAAAGAGGTATAGAAAAATATTTTTTTATCTTCCCATACTAATCAACATTTAGCAAAAACTGTCTATACATTTGACATCAGATATTGAAGAGCAAGTTTCTCATAATTAAGAAATGGTTAGTGAACACCATTCTGACATCAAAATGCATTAGTATCAATCATTTCTTCATCTTACCACAATGACATTAAAAATATATCAATACACATTTGTATTTCATTACCATTCATTACTGTAAAATTACTTATATGGCCCCCCACCCCTAACCCTAATTAACCAAGCTATTTTTCTTTGGCTAGGAACCCAAGCTATATCTTTCATAACAACAGACATTGAACAGATAACAGTAGAGAGCCTGAAGATAGCTTACCTAGACCTTCTTCTTCCGCCACCACCCCCGCCACCGCCACCCCCACGTCGTGGAGGTGAATGGAACCTGTCCCGGCGTGAACGGCCTGTTGACATCTCCACCTTCACACGGACACCACACAGACGCCTGAAGGAAATTGTTATGCATGTCATTTAACTTTTATGTTACTGAAATGAAAGGCAGACAGTTAATATATTCAAATAATTCAATCATTAACAAATATAGCCCAATTATGGACTTAAAGTTGAGAAGAATGTGCTCAAAGTTTTGTTTGAAAATTTCAGTTTTACTGTAAAACATCTTCCTTTTACTATGATAAATTTATAAAAAAGAAAGTTACTGTATGTATGCTGTCAGTGCATGGTGTGCAAAAGAGCTCACCTATAATTGTTCAACTGTCTTATATCTCTTGCAAAGCAAACTCAAAATAACCGATTTTTTAAATATTAACTCCCATCTCCCTGTCTATAGAAAGAGAAAAAAAGGCAGTGGCAGATAGCTAAATAGACTAAGCGAGTGGGAGTGAAAGGATTATATATACCAAAATTGATCTATATTTTCACAAGCCGATTAACTGCTATTTTGTTATCACAAACCTGACTCTGGGCCCTGTTCTTATCATTTACCTGTTATGAATATAACAGTTGTTTTCCAAACACTGAAAATGAGTGTGAAACAGTATGGAGTTAAATATGAATTATTTAATATGAGACTATCATAGAGATAATGATCCATGATTCTAAGATGACAAAATTTCTTTGTGATAATCAGATACTACTTGTTTCTTGATGTATTACACTAATTCCACGATTAAAGTTAATATTCCATTTGTTTCCTCATACACAATATGCTTTAGTATGCTGTAGAAATATGAATTTTCTTCATCCCATTTCTCTTATGCAAATGACACTAAACACAGGACATATTATGTATGAAATTGATTGCTGAACAGAATGGAGTGGGATGAAGGAGTAGGGTTAAGTGACTGCTGGCTTCTGGCTATGGTACATTTTCTTGTTATGTGTCTATTGTCTGTAGTATTTTGTTTATTCCGGCTCTACATCTCTTTTTAAATCAAAAACTAATTTTGGAACTGGTTCACTTGAGGGTTATGAAAAATGTATACAAATGACTAGGCACAGTAATGCCTTCTAGTGCTTATGTTAGTGTTTGATGGACAGGCATATTACAGAGTAAGCTTTGTTTACCATCATATATGCAAATGGAGATCTGTAGACAGTTGGATGCATAGTTAAGAGGTTGTCCAAACAGTCTGAGTTGTATGGGTATAAGTGTAAAACTCAGTAGTATACACTTTTCAAAGGCTGAAGAACATGCAGGGTTTACTCCCATTGTTCCAAGTAATCAAGGTCGTGCTGAAGGAAGAGTCTGCAGTCGTCAATGGTCTTGACTGGTCTAAGATGAAAACTGTTGTGTAAAAACAGTTTACAGTAGGTGAAGAGTCAGGAGTAGAAAGTGAATGGTTGATAATAACAGAAGAGGAGGTGGATAAAGTAGGGTGGTGTCTTGGGGACAACAGAGGAGAGAGTGACAGATCGGATGAAGAACTGTCAAGTACACGGTGAGTCCTGTTGACATGAAAAGCAGTGATCCAATGGGCCTTGTTATTCTGTAAAACTGTAAAGCGATTGTTAGTCTTTTGCCTAGACTCTGCTGAAGGCTTTGGTAAAATCCAAAATATAAATGTCATCTTTTTCCCCCTCTGATTCTGTGGGATACAAAGATATGGTCTTTAAAGTTTCTAATATTCACAATCACCAACTGAAAACTTAGCATCTTTTACTTCTAAAGGTAAACCAACATTTCTAAATAGTAAAAGCATGAAAAAAAAAGTGTTCTCCCTACTTCCAAGACATTACATGAAATACATTGGCAAATAATTATGTACAAGAAACACCAGTACATGCAAACAGTTAGTGAAGGTCAATAAAGTACCCAGTATCTAAAAAATCCTACTAACAAAATCCCACAAACTTACGTTCCATTCAGTGAGCGCACAGCATCTTCTGCATCCCGTGGATCTTCAAATTCCACAAAAGCAAAGCCTGGAGGGTTCCTTGCAACCCAAACATTGACGAGGGGCCCATACTTGGAAAAGGCTGATTCAAGCTCGTGTTTGGCTTCAGTGTTGCCAAGATTGCCCACATACACCTTGCAGTCGGTTCTCATTCTTCTGTAATCAAACAGTATTAATGCTATATATTTTTGGTCTACAAATTTTTGCATTAAAGATTTGTAAAATTTGGAACTGGATACTCATTCATAAGATATCCCCCTATTTGCAATAATAATAGAGAATCAACATTCCTGAGATATCATCACAATCATGATTAAACAGCTAATATATTTTGTTTCTAACTATCATTTCATAGGATATTCAGTTAAAATGTTCAAGAACCCTGGGTAAAAAAAAATGATTTCTTTACTTTTAACGATACTGGTTGTCTCTTTACCAAAAGCACATGAAACTGCCTAATGTGATGCAAGTAGAAATTCCAAGTAATAATCATTTGAACCATTTACTGTGGGTAAAGTCTTAATTACTGGAGAAGACAAACTGTAATGATGCGTTCAGAACCTCTACTATCTTGTCTCGGACAAGTTGTCCGTCTCGTCCATCTCCCCCTCCTGTGAACCTGGGCGATCAGGAAGAGATGACGTCACAATAGATTTTGTATGTAAACATTGACAGTTGCAGGTAACCACAAGATATTGGTGAATAATTTTATGGCCCTTTATTGGTGTTATCAAAGGATATTTTTGTGTTTGTCAGTTGCAGGTAAGTTAAATATATATCAAGAGTGTTACAAGACCCATGCTGCATGTAAAATAAAGACACCAGTATGATAAAAAAGTGAATGTTTACATTAAAGCCAGTTATATTCTGGGCAGAAAGGGTCTTGGTGGTTTTGAACGTGACCCACTTGTCCTGCTGGTTCTGGACAAGTTGTCTGGTCGAGCAAGATGAGGAGTTCTGAACGCAGCATAAAGGATTTAGTCCAAGGTTTAACCTCCCTGAATAGATTGGGATATTTGTTTGCTTTTGTCCAAAATCATCACCACAGCATGCATAGCTTCAGATAGTAGGCCTTCCATCATGGATCACACTGCAATATAATCATTAGGATTCTATCCATTTCTATCATCAGCTTACCCCCCCCCC